TTTTTTTTTTTTTTTGGGGTACATAAACATCCAACAATTTGTTCACTACAGTTCAATGTTTTTGGACCCGGCTCGGCTCGGTCGGTTGAACCGGTTGAACCGGGCCCAGGCCTGAAAACGGGCCGATTGAAGGCTTTAGCCCGTTTAGGTGAATGGCCCGTTGAAACCCGTTGACACCCGGCAAGCCCGTCGTGCCCGCTGAACCCGTGCGACCGGCCATGCTCGCCCGGGCTGAAATTTTCAGTTTTTCACCATCTTTTTAATTTTAAGTTTTTGTCTTTTGACTTAAATTAAAGTTTGAAACCTAAATTAAAAATCAATTAAACTAATTAACTAAGTAAAAACTAAAAACTAAAAACTAAAAACCCTAAGAATCTAAAATCATAAGCAGCTCGGGACAGTGGAAACTAGAAAGTCTGGAAACAAATTGCAAAACCCAGATTCAGGACCGACCTCTTCCTAGTCCTACTGGCTGAGTGTTTGTCTTCAAACACTCGAGTCATGGGTTCTGAGTTCGAAGGTCCGGTGAGCAGAGCAGAAAACCCAGATTCAGGAGGAACCAAGTACCAACAGAACTGCAGAAGGGTCTTCCGTCGATCGCCCGCCACTCCGCCGATCTTCTCTTCGCCGATCGTCCGCCAATTTCTCTTCCACCGATCGTCCGCCGATCTTCTCCTCTGTCACTGCACTTCTTCTGTTCCGCCGATCTTCACCATCTACCTCATCTGATTGGCTCAAAACAGAACAGATCGTCTTCGGGAAAGTGGTTTCTCTCCTCTGCTAAGCACCTCCTCCTCATCTCCTCTGTTGACTGCCAATCACCTCCTCCTTCCTCACTGGACTGAAACAGCAAAGCAAAACAAAAGTCACACTGTTGCAGAACATACCATCTCCTCCATCGCTGCCCTCCTTCTCTTCCTCATCTCCTCTGTCGGTGCCCTTCTTCTCTCTGCTCCACCGAACAGAAGCAGCAACGAAAATCAGAAACTTTCTCGTCATTCACTCAAAATAGAGTAAAACTAACCTACAACTATAAAATTCAATAAAAATGTCAAAAAAAAAATTAGTTAACCGGTTGACCGGTTAGGTGAACCGGTTCAACTGGTTGACCTGGACCCGGTGGTCAAAACGGGCCAGCCACCGGGCCGGGTTCAAAAACATTGCTACAGTTAAACCATTTATGACCAGCCCTTTTGGTTGTGGATTTTGGCCCACAGAGGCTGAAAGGACAGAAACCCATAGGTTTAAGTACCATTTTGGTCCCTCAACTTATCACTTTGGTACCAAAATTGTCCCTTAGCTTTAAAAAGTACCAAAATTATCCTTGAACTTTCATTTTTGTACCAAAATGGTCCTTCCGTCAGTTAAACGCCAGGTGGCACGTTAAAATGCCAACAAATCAATTCTTTTTTTTTCTTAATCAATGACATGGAAAAAAAAAACATAATTAACTATTTTTTCTCTGAGTTGGCATTTTTATTTAATTTAACAATAATAATATTGTTTTTTTGCATCCACGTCAGAAAAAAAAAATTTTCTTCTTCCCCTTTCACTCTCTCTCCTTCACCTCTCCTTTCCCTTTCTTCTGCAAACCCAGATCTGGAGTGGACGCTCAATAAACCCAGATCTGTTTGCAACGCCCGAATCAAGGAGGAAGTCCTTAAATTATACTCTGCAAACTTCGAATCTTGTACCAAAGCTCGTGCCTTCTTCTTCATCGCTGGAAGTCCTTTCCGATGATGCTATTTTGTCGAATCGTTGTTCGAGAAAACCCAGAGAAAGACCCAGAGCTCGTGCCTTCTTCTTCGTCGTCGAAAGTCCTTTCCGATGATGCTATTTTGTCGAATCGCTGTTCGAGAAAACCCAGGGAAAGACCCAGAGCTTGTGCCTTCTTCTTCGTCACTGGAAGTCCTTTCCTTTTCACTACTGCAAACCCAGATCTGGGTCTTCCTCTATCAAACCCAGATCCATCTACAACACAAGAATCAGGGATTAGATTTTGCTCTACAAACTCCGAATCTTGTAACCCCGTAACATGAATCGTGGCCCATATTATTTTCAACCCAAGGAAGTCCTATCATCAAGCCCCCAGGCAGACGCCAGCTCCAGAAACGAAGGACATTCGGAGAACCCCTCAACCGGAGTCCGCTCATGCGCGGAAGACACAGAACAGCTCCCGTGCGCATCCCAATCGCACTCCTGACACAGAACCAAATTATCCGTCACGCACCGAACCGCAACCGGCTCAGAACCGTAGTTATCGCAGATCTGAGACCGCAAGTGCTTCCGCGAAAGCAGGTTCGCGGAGTGCACATGCTGGTCGCAGAACAAACAGAGCTTCGCCGAGTCAACCCTACAGAAGAGAACCGCAATCTGGTCCTTACAGAAAATTTTGTTTATCGAGCGTCCACTCCAGATCTGGGTTTGCAGAAGAAAGGGGAAGGAA